ATTTAAGTGAATACCTACCATCCCCTAAATACGCCATTGTCATCAATCTGCCCCACTTAAAATAATTATTTAAAACCTAACAAGAAGAAAAATGTTGCTAAACATAATTAAATACTATTGCCATGAGGCTAAAACGGCAGCTAACCTAGGAAGTTACAATGAAAACGCAAACTAATAATGTAAAATTGATTAAGAGAGGGTGGGTATTTATTTGAACCTCTCGATAAAAAGTTACACGGTATATAAGATATTTTTAATAATTTAGTACATATATTTCTCTAAGCATGAGACTAGAGCTTAGTACAGTAATTTAGAAAAATTCAAAATTATTTTTAAAATTTTAAATTCAAATTTCAAATATTATATTTTAATTTTTAAATCTCTTAATAAAAATTATGAATCTGCACCGTGAGACTACAAATATAAATATACCTATAAAGGAGGGAGATGTAAAGTTAACTTTAATTAGAACAAGTGGGGTCTATTATTTGTCCAAAATTAGCAGAACTAATCAACCAATGAACCAGTAGGATAAATAATTAGTAATTATTTATGAGTCATATTACCCGCTCTAAATTATTTTAAAATGTAACAAATATATTATAACACTTGTGTAACTACTTCATGATCTTAAAAGTGTTTTACACTTATTTTTATATCATCATTAATATCAGTATCATATAATTAAACGATAAGATTTAAAAAAACCAAAAAATAAAATAAACTCGTGTCATTTGATTTCTTCTTGTATAGCAACATCTTTTTCATCAAAAATGTTTGCTTTACTAAATTTTCTTCTTTTTTTTACTAATAAATAGTAAACATACTAAATTATTTTAAAAAAAATTATTCCTTACATAGTCAAAATGAAAGGGATCATCTTACAAACCCGTTTACTAAAGGATTTGCGAGGGATATATAATAATAATGAGCACTATTAGTTCTATGAGTCTAAAACGAGGTCGTTCAGTTATTTTAGGATTAATTATTTCGAAATAAGTTATCTCATAATATATATGAAATAATTTGTCTCGTCACTATGATAAAAATGATGAGATAAATAATACAAGAAATATTTAACATCTCCAATCCAACGTAGAATATAATAATATAATAATCCTCCATTTTATTATGAGATTATTATACCTTATGCCTCACACTAAAATAATCCAAAATTTGTCACTACTAACTGAACTTTACAAAATAATGATTTCTTTCTTTTTATCCAAAAAAAAAAAATATCCATTACATAAAATAATTTTGTTCTTTTCATCTCAAGATGTTTATTTGACATTAATGGTACCTTGTAATTGTTTCTTTGAGACTGAACGAGTAGTTATCTTATAGTGATTTTATTGGGTAAGATAACCATTTATTTTATATTATAAAATACTAGAAGAGTAAAGTTCATAATATATTTAATCATTCCTACACAAGATTTTTTCATTTTTTTGTCTTCTTTAATTTGAAGTCTTCCCTTTGGAAAATAATTTTTTTATACTTTGCTAGAATGTTGATCCAAGTGAATGTGACTAAATCCAAGTGGGATCTGTATGGTAGAGAATTTACGCAAGCGGTTGAGTATAATCGGATTTTTAAATTTTTTTTTATGAAGTATTCATACAAATATATAATTTATTTATATTTTAAATATTTTTTAGTCCTATCAAAGTTATTTTTCAAGAAAATAACAAAAAATACGATATGATTAATGATACTAAAATATCCAACAAAATAATAATAATATAATCGCGTAAAACAAATATTGCAAATTAATAAGTCGTAATAAAATTGATCATAATTTAAAGTACTAAATCATGATAAAATAAGTTTAGTAAGTATTAGTTACATAAAATATTAAAAGAAAGTAAAATTAAATCATGTATTTTAATTGTCTAAATCTATATAAAACTAAAAAATAAATATTCAATATTATTGTCAACTTTAGTGATGAATTGATTTTCTTTTTTGTATTAGTATTAATTTGATTTTTATTTAAATTTTATTATAATTATCAACATGTATGGACTATAATCTTTATTAGATCATTAAGAATAATATACTAAAAGATAAAAACTATGAAATAGTATAAGAGAATTTTTAAAAATTATATCAAAATAAATATTTTTACGTATAAAATAAAATTTTAAAATTATATATATATATAA